TCCCTACGTACAGGCAACTCGCCTGGTGACAGTCGGGGTAAAATATTAATGTGTTCAGTGAAGTGTTGTTGTCTGGAGTGCTGCCCTGACCATGAGCTTTGTTCCTGGACAGAGGAAAAAGCTAAGCAGCCATTCAGAGGCTCAGGCAGAGGTCCATGCAGCTGGATGTAGCAGCGAGGATGACTCCAAGCAGGGCCTCACTCTATCCACCACTGCTTAGCTCAATGCAAATGAGTAATGACCGCAATGTTAAACCCAACTAGAGCTAGAGTGTGCTTTTGCAATAAATCAAGCTGCAGCAAGGTAAAGTGATCCGTTGCCTGAAGCAGTGACGGAAGGCCAAGCAGAGACATCTGGTTTTTAAGTGCTTCAGCTTGGGCCTTTTTGCCTCCTTCAACAAACCAAATTCTCAAATACAAACACAGAAAATGCACTTGCTCCCATGTCCCACCCCTTTGCTTTTCCTTCCAACTTACTTTTAATAAGCTTTGAAACTGCAGGTGCTGCTGTTTTTTCTGTGCTTATTTTTTTATTTCTTTTTTTGTTCAGGGAAATCTTTTTTCCTCCCCCATTTTTGGCTCTCGAAAGTCTACAACTGAGTGCACGCCTTTGAGTCTCCCAGCTTTTCTTATGGAGACCTAAATAAGGAATGAGCTAACTAACTGAGAGCTGCTACCTCCTGTTCTGATTCAACGCACTCCTGTCGGTTTGCTTACTCCACATTGCCCAAAGATCCTTTTGGGTTTATGCTCACACCTTGGTGTGTTTGCACTGTATCTGTGTCTGCTTGTTTTTGCCTACTGCGTGTGCGCCTCTCTGCTGCCTGGGAGTGTTAGGTTTGCAGTTTGTTTGAAGACCTGAAAATCATTGGCTAACAGCACACTGGAACTGTTAAGTAGAAGCAAAGGTTTAGTTCAAGGATCCTAATTTGCAGATGTGTGAAAGGGGCTATGGATTTTATATTTCATTGGAATAATGCTGACACTCTTTTAGCTTTGCTTATCTTGCATCCTTAGTTCTGAGTCTTTCTAACCTCATGCTTGTGGATAGAGCTTTTACCTGAGAATAGAAAAAGATAAGAGCATACGCACAAAAGCACACACACATACACACACTGGAGGTCCTTACAGGTTAAAATCTAGCGCTGCTTAGCGAATCCATTACAGTTCTAACTCAGCCTGAAAAAGTCCTGTGTACTTTACAAAAAGATAAACCTGGGTCTGGACCTGAGTCGCACAGAGGGGCTCAGAACTACAGCTAGCAAGATCAGGACTGTTTGTCTGTAGCTGGTCCCTGCACTCCAAAGCAAATTCCACAAAATAGCACAGAAGTGAATCTGTGTTTCAGAAGAAGCCTGCCAACACACGTTAAACTTCCTAGTTCCAGACAGCACAGCCACTTTTAATCTTGACATCGTAGCAAATATGCCACATGTATTCCTCTAGATAATGACTCAGGTGTCCTCAGGTCCGCTAAATTCAAAGTCTGGTACGTAAAATAATAAAATCAGACTCAACCCGAGGCAAGAACACCGGGATGTCAAAAACAACACAGATTCATGCAGACAGCTCGAAGTGAAGACTGTTGTAAGTATTCACAAGCCAGAATGCAACCATATACATATGCATACATTAAATCTGGTGTGTCACTGGGATAAACACTGATGTTTCCAGCTTATTTTGAAGACACGCTGGATTAAGCTGGAGCGATGGCTGACTGGCAGAGCTTTCATTGTTCTGGATACATTGCAATACTTAAAAATGCTATATATAGGGTTTTGAAGAGCTTTTCAGCTTTTTTTTTTTTTGAGAATGAGTGGCAAATGCCTCCTTTTTATAATCCAAAAAAGAACACAGTGTGCATGTGTGTTTAATAGAAAAGCATAATGACGAATAAAAGGCTGACTGGCAGTAAGCTGTTAGAAGCTTACTATGAGTTGGCATCAGCAGCTAGGTCATTGAATCATTTTATCTTACACTGCAACACTGTGACATAAGCAGGAAGATATGAGATTCAAAAGTTTGAATTACGCAGCAAGGTGTGTTTGATGTATTTGCTTGGCCAGTGCAGTGCCTTGCCAACTTACCTTACTAAGAGTTGTTTTCGAAGAATTTTGTTTGCTTGAGTCCTTAAGGCTGGCAATCGCAATTACATTTTATTTTTAATTAAGGTTTTGGCTTCCAAAATTTCTGAAAACAAGATAATTGAAGTTAGAAAAATGTGCTACATTCTGCTTCACAATGATGCTCTCATTCCTGCATTGGAAATCCAGTGCAACTGTTTCGTTTACAACACTGGATTTTTTCCTTACCTAAAAGCCAAAGTTTAGTAGCTACCACGCTCTGTTTAGATGTGTTTAATGCTGCCCATGTTTATTTTTATCTCATTTTTTGCCAATTTGCAAAAGCCCGTGGAAATGAGCATTGTTATCTACTCCAGTGAAGTGTAACCACACTTTTAAAATTTTAGTTCTCTCCACAATTATCACTAAGAGCAGTGTGTCTGTGTGTGTTCTCCAGCGAGTCATTGCTACCCCTGACCCTTGAACACAGGCTCAGGGAGAGATCTCTCCTCGGGATTGGCTATAGCAAAACTGCATTACAGAAGAATTTCTTGATCTTATTGCAAAAGTAGAAAAGGAGTTGGTGAGATAAAATGGGGTTATATCAGGCTAGAGTATTTTCAGCATACAAAGCTGAAGGTGTCTGTTTGTTGGTGATCCTTCTTTTCTGATGTTGTTTCATGTTACATTACATCACCTTTGCACCAATACGCACATCAAAAACATGTCTCTTTTACTCTAATACCACAATTGTGATGAAACATTCAAATGCAGACAAGAAAGGATTATATTAATAACCAGAATAAGCCTTACTGATGTGCTTTTTCTTTTCTTTTTTTTAAGAACTTTCTCACTGGGTCCACTTGTGTGGATCACACATTCGACTTCCTACAAAACATTTTCAGAAGTCTTCCCTCTCAAGCCAAAACAGCAGAGTGCTTCCTTATCTTATGGGCTGGAACTCACGTCCTCTCGAAATGGCTCATATCGCCTTATCTCTCCAGAATCACATCACGGCCCCCATGTCTGCCTCTTCCGAGTTCTCTAATTTGCTTTCTCTTCTAACACCAGCAACTACAAACACAACTTCTTTAACGCCTTGCTGAGCTTTTGCTATTATTCTCACGTCCTCACCCTTGAAGTAGTTCTGCTGTCGTGCTCCCTGTAAATTGATCGTGAGCGCAGGCTAAATGCCTTAAATGTAATTGAAATTGTAAAAGAATCTCTTTAAAAGTCAAACAAGCTATCTATGATTGTGCAAGGAAAAAAAGATAATGCTGGTACAAAACAGCTGACGCAGCAGTGAGATATCCCGCAGATGAACATTATCACAATTAATCTGACAGTGATAAATGCAGCAACAATTCGTCTCTCGTTTTCTAACAAGCTATGTAGACAAGGAACATAATTTACAGCTTTTTCTCCATTATGCAGACTCAGTCTGTTCCGATTTTTGTAGCCTCTGACAATTTTTTCAGGACAGGAATCATAACATAACCATACATTTAGTCGAATATTAATATTTAAGCGCTAGCTTAGATAGATCGTACTCAGAGGAATTTAGGATGAGAGCAGATATAGATTTACATACTAATTCCTCCAGCTGCCTTGAGGCGCTCTGTTGATCTTCTATCGTCACATTTTCTGTATATGCATAATATTAGTTTTATTCCTATCAGAAATACACTGAATAAAACTTGCACCTGTAGGCACTACCTTCCCATCTCTATTAGTCTCTGTCATCCATTACCATCTCGCCAACAACCCCCACTTACCAGATACCCCCACATTTCTAGCTCCCCTGCGGAGTTCAAACGAGAAGACCTATCTTCAGTTGTCCCCTTGCACACACCTGGGCCTTTCCGGGAAGACAAACATACGGCATTAATTCATCCATGTCTCTCCAGACTTCAAATATTTTTTCTCTGACTCTCTTAAGAGACTCAAGGACTTTCAGCAGAGGGTTGCGCTGTTTACTCTGTACTCCTGGGTGGGATATTTCCACTTGAATAAATGTGTCTCAGTGTGGGTTACATCTGTGTTCAGATAGCTTATCTTCAGATATACAGGCATGTGTGTGCTTTCCACAAGTGTTTCTGGACGTAAGCTCGTAGATTAATAGTATACAGATTCAATTAGGTAACTTCTGTGTGTGTTTTATTTTATAGTGCACAGACGTCTTTCTGGATATATGTTACAAAGATCCTGAAAATGTGTATGCATTTGTGCCAGAGGATGTTCTTCTATTCATTTGGGTGGAGCCATTCAAAGCAAACTTCAGGTCATGTTAAGCTCAACTTTGAGCTCTTTATATAAAAGCAGTCTCCCCCCTCAACCTTGCCTGGAGCACTGATAGGATGAAAAATGGATAGAAACCCCAAAGGAAGGAAGGGGAAGGTCCATCTGTGAGCTGCATTCAAGGACAACAGTGTTATCCATTTTGGAACAGTATGAAACAAGCTAGTGTTTTCAGTGGGGTTTGGAAATGTGGGCTTCTGGATGAACTGTGGATGCTACTGTTGTCTTGCCAAGCCAACTGTGATGTTGCAGATTAGATGCGAATCATTGACTCCTTGTTTGTATCAGTGTGACTCTTCTCATTCAGAGTGAGAGATAATGAACAAATGTGACTGATTGTTTCTGATCTGTGTTGCTGTAAATTACTGCCGCATCAGGAATTGTTTTGCAGAGCTCTGGTGCATAGAAAAGCTACGTTTAATGTGATTTTATGTTATTCAGCCCAGAGGTGTTTAGTTTTGGTGATATCTATTAATCTCTGGTCTGATCTTGCTTTTTATTTCCTCTCTTATCTTCTTTCTCTTTTTGTTATTTGTTCTGTTTTTATATTTTTGTATTTTTTCTCCTAACTCTTTCACTGATCTACTTTTTTCTTTTGGTTCTTTCAACTCTTCTTATTTACTCCTATCCTCTGTCACAGAACCGATTTCACCTGCAGATGTCAGCCCGTGTGCCTCCATCAACCCTGGGAAGTTTGCTCCTTGCAGTTTTGCAGGGGGGAGATGGTGGGGATAGGGATAGAGGAAGTCGGGGGGACAGCTGGGGAGGAGCAGCTGTAATCTGCCCAGGCTGGGACGAAGGCGGTGATGGCTTACTGACCCACCTTCAGAAGTACAGTGGTTCAACCTGGCATTTGTGGGACATAATCAACCTGACTCGCATCACAGGGAGCAGAGATAGAAGAGGGGGGAGCAGTGAGGAGAGAAGGGAGGAGCAGATGGAAGAAGAGGCTTTGAAGATCATCTCCACCCGTTTCCTGCGCTCCCCCTCACCTGTTTCGTCTGTTCTCCTCCTGGGATCCGACCCCGAGTGTCTATCCTCCGTCCTTCGGGCTGCTCAGCGTCTCGCACCATCACTACCAGCACTGCAGTGGATCATGGGATATCCCTTGTCTCCAGATTCGCTGCACACTTTAGGAGGTCCTCTTGGACTGTTAGCCTATGGGGAGGTCGGCCGCAAGCCAATAAGCTTCTATATACGGGATGCTTTGCAGCTGATTGGCCGGGCGGTCACTGCAGCAACCATGGTGAGGCCAGATTTGGCACTCACTCAGAACATGGTAAATTGCTATGACAAACCAAACCGACATGAACAGCCCTCTTCTGGACAATATCTAGCCAGGTAAGAATGTACAGGATACACCAACTAATTAAAGGGTTACTTCACATAAAAATGGCTAAAATAATGTCTTTGTTCACCTCTAATAATATTTAGCTATATAGGGTTTTTTGTAACAAATTACTCTATTTGGCAGCTTTGATCTGACTAGTGAGTACATACGACAGAGACAGCAAGTATATATTTTTTTGGTATACAGACTGACAGTGCAGGAACTGGTAATTCTTATTAGTCCTATGCAGTGTAGTTTGTTGCTATAAGCACCCTTACAGATAACAGTCGGGGGTATGGGTTGATTTGATGATGCTGATGCTGGCTATAAGCTTTCACTTTTACTTTAATCTCAATTTGGTTGTTTAGCAAAGTCTAGAATTAGTGCCTAGTGTTACTTGATCATCATTAAACCCCACTCTCTGTCAATGTTGATGCACTGAGATCAACTCCAGAGTTTTATGGTTTAGTTTAGAGATGATAGTAATACCTCCTCTAAAAATAAAATGTATTGTTTCAAATGGCATAAGACTAGCTTTATACTCTCTACAGTCTACACTCTATACTTCCTTGCAGCTACAGGTTCACCTTAAATGACTCCTGGGTTTCTGAATTTTTGCACATAGTTTTACTATTTAAATAACCGAATGATTCATAGAAGACAGTGAAAAACTGCATTTAAAATTCGCTGGTCACATCACTAAATACATGCTAGGTCGTTAGCTTTCTGAGTGACATTTTGACATTTTTGTGAGGAGTTACTGGCTCCACTTGTGGTACTGTATGCTCTGGTTGCTGCCCTTGTCTGTCCTTTGCACCATGGGGGTGGTAATTTCTGAATAGCACTGTCATACTGGAGGTGGGGAGGAGGTCTTTATGGCATACAGATTGGCAGACTGACACCAGAGGGGTTTTGTGTGTTTCTGTTTGCTGTTGCTCCAACTCCTGCAGCTTTCAAAAAAAGGCTTCTGACAGCTTTCACGGGTCTGACAAGGTGTGGTCTACGATGATAACCACTGACACATGGGGGGAAAAAACTGACTGAAATACACTTTAAACCTTAAACATTTTCATTTGAAGCAGAAAAACGTAAATCCTCGCATTCGGACATGGAGCGCAAAAACCTATCACACTCGCATACTCTAGAAATCCTCTTGAGCAATATGTGGCTGATAGTGCATGATGCACTGAAGCCTGCTGCAATAAACTCACTGCAAAGTTAAATATTTTTCTCTAACAGTTGACATGGATATACTTCAAAGGGTACAATGGATAAAACAGCATGCATCCAAGTCATGTGATACTGGTGAGGGAAGGATTTGTGGTAGGAGCTGGGTCCACAGCAAATATTGAGCCCACGTGGTGCCTGCCAGCTGAGAGTGATCACAGACAACAGCCACATAATCACAAGCTGGATTCTCACAGTACTCTGTCCGCAAAGCAGTTTAGTTGAGCACTGGGATCTCAGAACCATGGGGCATGGAGGGCCACAGGCTTTTGTGGAAGTTGTGTTATTGAACATCCATTATTAGAGTTTGAAACAAGTTAATTAGGTTCAGAGTAGCGCCGCCACGATAGATTTTTCACTTCATGGTTATTGTGGCCAAAACAACTCACAATAATGATAATAGGGCAAACATTTTGATAAATTACTTGCCTAAATCACTACAAACAAATGCCGCTGATGAAAGCAGGGGCCAGTATGTATACAAAGTTTGAATTTAAGAGCACCAAACTGTAGCGACTCGATCAAGCCAGCAACCATGCAGATGTTAGTGCAGTTTAACAGACTAGCTTTAAATGACTCAGGCGATGTGTGACAGAGAAGCTGCAGAGACAGAAAACATGCAACAGTGGTAGTCACTTTACTTTAGTCAGGCATGAAATGCGCTGATAAGCTGAGGCTGTAGTGTAGTCCTACTTAGTGCAAGGCTGTTACTGAAATAGAAGAGACTGAAGAGGTAAACTGGAAAGAGAGTTTATAACCCTAACCGGCTTTTGATGGACCATTTATGATATTATCATATCTATATTTTTAATATGTTGTAAAGTATTATGCAAAATTCCTTAGCCGCCTCTCATTTCTTGATATTTTGTTTCCAAGGAGCCAGACTTTAACTCATCAGTTTTTGTTAAGTGCAAAAGTTCTGAATGGCTGCTGAATGTCTTCAAGGTTTTTCACTCATTTTCACTCTTGAATCACTTATCGCTGGCCTATCAATTATTCATTCAGTTGAAGTTACAAAAAACTGGCAAAAATAGTACGGATTGACAGGTGTAAAATTACATTTTCACCATCAAGGTGATTTCCAAAGAGCTATTAGCTGGAAACTTGGCATATCCCTGCATAGTGGGCCCTTAAAAAAATTAGAATAAAATGGACAAATGGAGGATAAAAGAAGAAGTGGCAGGACTAAAAATATCCTTAAAATAGGAAGACATACAGCAAAGACCTGGCACGGGACCAGAGAGATGCATCTAGTCCTTCACATGATCCATCTACTGTTTATCAGAAACCTCATTAGAAATTGTCTGACTGGCTTTCAAGCAGCAATTTGTAAGGAATGAAAACGGGAAGAAAAGGCTGAGGTATGACAAATTATACAAGAACTGGACTGAAACAGTTCTTTAAGGAGTGATGAATATAAATGTGAAACTTTGGTTCAAATAATCATCAACATATACGTAAGAAGAGTGTCTACGGCCATCTGTATAACACTCTGTCATGATTTGGGCCAGTGTTTTAGCCAGTGGTACAGGTTTTTTTTGGGTGGGTGGCGTTGATGAAATGAAATTGATGAATGCAAAAAAGTGCAGTCATCTATGTAATACCATCTGGAAAGAATCTGATTGGTAACCGCTTCATCTTTCAGGATGGCTATAATCCCAAACACACTGCCAATGTAGTAAAAGGATACCAGCATATAAAAACACACAGCAGAATGCTGTAAGGGACAGACAGGCCTCCCAGGGGACTACAACATTATTTTCATCTTAATATCACACCAAACAATCACATCATGACTAGTAATGGCTATTTAGTAAATCTTTGATTTTCTATAAGTTGTGTTTTATATGTTATTGGTTTATTGGCTGAATTATGTTGTATTGTTTTTCTCCTCTTTTACGACTGTATGAATTTTAACACCATGGTTGTTAATCTTAAATTTGTATCAAGTCAAAATTTTACTTTGCGTAACACTTTAGTTTTTCCCCATGTGCCAAATGAATATCATTTCAAGCAACTCTTTATTACACTATATTTTAGAGACAATTAATGAAGTATTGTGCATGCTAAACTAAGACTGCATCCAAGGTATATATTTTATCAGTTCAACTTAAGCCTATTTCTATGAAGATATAAGTTTTGCTTTGTTTTTTTTATTTAAAGAAGAAAAGAAAATAAGACATTTTTAAATGACTCAAACTTCATCAGGACTCTAGGGAAAAATGCAATCTTTTCGTGGGCAACCAATTGGCACATGGTCTAGCCTATCAGATTAAACTATTTACAATAGAGTTCTCCACAAAATAGTCTCAGTGACCTTTGTTCATGGCCAGTGAAAGACTGATAAAAGGGGTTGTTCTATTGCACTATTCAAACTCATGCACTTGTTCTCCAGTGTACTCCCTGATTCTTATCCCTCGCCTCCAACAGCCAGACACGGCAGTTCTCCGGAGAGCCTTAACAAAGCTAGAGGAAGTGAGAGACTTCCACATGGAAAAGGCAATTAACAGCTCAATGCCCTGGGGACAGAGTGAGGAAAGCAGGGAGGGAGGGAGGATGTCTTGAGATATTAGCAAGTAAAGAAGGTATGAGAGGATGAGAGGTTACAAAAATAAAAGTTACAAAATTACTCTTTCAAAGCAATGAAGATAAAAATATGAGAAACTAGCCACTTTTGATGTTGCTCTTCAGAATGTCCAGAATCACAGAATCCCTAGGTGCTTATTCCCAAAAGTACATTAGAGAGAAGGGAGAATGTGGTCAAAGACAAACAGATAGATAAAAGAGAGGAAGTAGGATACAGCTAAAGAAAAATAGAAGTAAAAACAAAGGAAAAGGAAGGACACACTTGTGTGGAATAGGATGTGAGGGAGGAGAAAAAGGAGGAAAAAAGATAGCGGGTTGTTGTTATCAGAGTGAAATCTGCCAGTCAGTGCCATCTCACTCGACACAAGCTGCCACGCTGATTCCATCTCCCCCGAAGAGATTAAAACCAATGAAACAAGCAGGCCTTGTATCATTCCCGACAGACAGGCAGAAAAAGACGAAGGGAGTAAACTTTCCTCCAAACTGAAGGAGGTGGACTGACAAGAGATTGAGACGCATGCTTGGGACAGTCTTATAGAGTCATCATTTACCGACCACACCACTGACATTTACTCTGAGTGCGTAAACCTGGGCCAGGTGTTAGGGAAGGAAGCCATCCCTCTCTGACATAGCTGGGTGACTTATCAACCTGCTGTGAAATCCAGAGTCATCCTTTAAATACAGCCTCTGGCCTGATGCTACAAAAACAATCCGCAGGACCCATAACTAAAAGGTGGTGCAGCTTTAAAGTGTGCAGTACATTTTTTTACACCACTGCTCTTATCCCTATATTATGTCACACTCCTATCTCACCTCTTATCTCTGGGCATGAATCCAAACGTGTCACAAACAGTGGGAGAGGACCCTTTGAGACCTTGCACTTTTCTCCTTGGATAAAAGATGTAAAGCTTACAGTGTGGCTATTTTTTTTTTCTTTCTTTGGCCAGCTTAGACTAAGAGTCTGGAGTTGGTTGGCTTGATGAATCTGCTGTCTATTGGATATGATGATTCAGCCGTGCTATTACCATGAGTGATTTCAGCTCAAGGCAAGGCTAGCACTTTCGCTTTATGGCCACAGAGACAGAAGGGAGCTGCCGATGAGGAAACATAAGTTAATGTGAAAGGGAACGGGGATGGCTTCCAATCAGAAGCATTTTTAATCAAGTTCTTTACAATTATGTTGATGTTATAGTAAATCACAATGAGAGGATATAGGGCAAGGAACTAAAGCGGAATACATAAAACCTTACATATATTCACATTTTTATATCAGTCGCTGTGTGGGGCAGACAGGCTTTAGTAAAGGCTAAACTTGGAGGACAGGTTAATGACCCACAAGATAAATTTAGCCTTTTCATTATCCTTTGGATATTCCATATTTAATGAAGAATATTCTCAGCTGCCACAATCTAAGCTAATGCATGCATATAACCTAGTGATGAGAGTGAGAAAAGAAGAAAAGATGGGGGAGGGAACTAAGTGCAAGAGGATAAACCTGTTTTCTGTTCTAAGAAAGGACTCCGGCTCAACCACCCGTTTCTATTATATGGAAGGAAAACTTGCCATTTCTAGCCTTGACCCAGACATCATCAACAGTCCCGGCACGGTTCAACACCCATACTGAAGTGGTCCCTGCATACTTTAACATTTAAACAACCACCCCTATGATTTACAATGACCTCATGACAATCCCTTATGATCAAACAGAGCTCGTATGGCTTGATGATGTCCACGTGATCGACTGCTAAGACATGTGCAAAAAAATCCCTGCGTGGTTCAAGAGGCCAGGAGAGATTTATGTGCGAATGGGGATTGCTCCTCCTAATGTGTGGAGACGAGTGAGCCGAATAGCAATGACTGTCTGTATGGACTGGCAGATAGGAGGAGAAGACCCTCACTGCACTGCATTAACTTTTAATTATGACTCTCTGGAAGATGCAATTACCCATTAGAGACCAGACTTGCTTAAGCTCTGCAACCACACTGTAACTTTTTTCTTGCATTAGCCCCATTTTCCTTTTTTCATAAGCCTTTTTTCATAGACTATGTTTAGTGTCATCTGTATAATATTGCAGGCTGTACTTTTTTAAGGTGGATGTCAAGTTTATTTTCTATATTTTGTTGGCTTCCACTTATTATTTGTTCTTTGTCCTCTGTCCCTCGAGGTTTCTCTCCAACACTTCCTTCACCGGGGCCACAGGCCTGATCCAGGTCGATGCTGGTGTTTCTCGGATTCTGTCCTCCCAATTGTTTCATGTATGGAGTCTGAAGAGAGGTGCTCTGGGGCAGCCTGCTTGGGTTACTGTAGGCCAGTGGACCCGAGGTCGACTGGAGTTGGAGGGTGGCATTCTGGGACTGGTGGGAGGGTTCATGACCAGCCAGGGACAAGGTCTTGGAGCCGGGGTGAGGGGAGGGGATGGCCAGGGTGACGGCAACTTTGGAGGTCGCTGGAGGCCGGGACTTTCGGTTGAAGGGCACCGCCTCAGGGTTGTGACCCTGGTGGAACACCCATTTGTCTTCACACGGGAGGTGGACGAGGATGGATTGTGTCCAGCTGGACAGCTTTGTCTGGACCCCAAAACTAACCAGTCTAGTATAATACATGGCCTTTTTAACCAGCTTCACAACTCAAATACTACAACAGTAGACTGGGATGGCACAGGTGAGTGTTATTTTGCCATTTGTCCATAGAATACTGTCATTATAGAACCATTATACTGTAGAAGTGTAATACTTGTCAGAAACATTTTAACTTGTACTGTGAGCATCTATGACTTCTAATTTATGGCCTCTCCAAGCTTTGCTTACATAAACCCTCAGATCTTTTCCTTTCAGTTTCAGTGTTGCTGTATTTGGCTGGCCATGTCTCTAGAGCACATATGGAAATTTGAGGTAGAATCAATAAGGGATTGCACCAGGTCAGTTTAGTTGAAAATATAACAGGGTCAGGGTCAAGGGCTACACTCACCAGCTACATCTTTCATGAATGAAGAGCATATAGGAATTCAATCAATAAGAGATCAAGAGTATCTTGTCAAAGATGTACTACTACGATCTTTCTTTCACACATGAGATTATCTGCAGCTATACATCCAGTCCACAGCATAGTAATAACAGTCAACCTGACTTTCTTTAACTTTAATCAGCCGATTGCATATGGAAGCTATAGGAAAATGTAAATTTTTTTCACGATGATGCAGGTACTAAATGTTGACGTGTACTGTGAATTTATTCGGTTGCCATTGATAGGATTAATCGTTTCAATGCAGAGGGGTATTTACACCTTTACATAACATAACTTACAAAATATTGAAAATAAAATTCATGATGGTTCATTTGTAAAAGAGGTCCAGAAGCCAAGCAAGAGCAACGGGGACGCTGCTGATGTTGATTAAGCGATATTGCAAGGAAAATGTTTGCCAGAGCAGTTAAAATGGCAAACATGGCAAGAACTTAAAAATTCATATTGAGCAGCTCCATTACATCTTGCCAGCTCTACTTTTCTTTAATGAGTTTGAGGGTTGTTAATTTTTTTTTTATCCAAGTACTTAATGTGAATAAATGTAGTCCATGCCAGGTCATAAAAAATGCCAAAGCTGAAGTGTAATGTAAGAATCTATCAACATTTTCCTTCAGCTATGGTTGTTTGTAGGCAATTCCCATATGTGCAACCACATCCAAATCATGCATATGAATGTCCGGATGGATATCACACCATCATCATTTCTTTCCTCTCAGAACTACCAGAGGACCTGAGAAAGTGCTGCTATGGGTACTGCATTGACTTGTTGGAAAAGCTGGCAGAAGATATGGGCTTCACATTCGACTTATATATTGTGGGAGATGGAAAGTATGGGGCGCTCAGTGGGACAGGACGCTGGACGGGACTGGTAGGAGATCTGCTGAGCGGAACCGCCGATATGGCCGTCACCTCTTTCTCTATTAACTCTGCCAGGAGCAGAGTCATAGATTTCACCTCACCCTTCTACTCCACCAGCCTGGGCATTCTGGTACAACTGCTTGAAGTCATCATTAATTGTTGGAGGTTTAAACTTGATTTTTTACGACTGTAGAATTCATGGCATGTCCTAAAAATGTGCTCTGTTTTAAGTTAAAGCACTGCAGTCCTCAGTGTTACTTTGACTTTTTATGCCTCTGCCGGTATGATTTAATCATTTGGCCTGCAGCTACTTATTGTTCACCCTAAGCCCCCTCACCTTGGTATTGTAGTAAGGAGCGGGAGATCATTAGTTGAGCATGTATGTTAATTACTGAACTTGGATGCAGTTTAAGAGTGTGTAATGAGTCTAAGAGGCATTTGAGAGACAGAGTCCTCAAACATGCTGTAGCTATTCTTTGATTGGTTAGCATTTCCCTCTATAGCTGACAATCTGCAACGCATGATATGATCTGACAATACGGCTCCATTTGAAAATGAGATATTCATCATTTTAAAAAGTGATTTCTTCTCCTGGCTGAATAATAAATAGCACGGAATAAAAAACAATGTGTGCATTTCTTTTTAAACTAATTTGCCGAGGAGTCATTAACAGAAGTTTATACAAACAATGCATGGCAATCAACGGTCTCAAGTCTGCTTCTTGTGTTTGCATTTGATCCAACAGGTCCGTAGCCGGGACACTGCAGCTCCCATTGGAGCCTTCATGTGGCCCCTCCACTGGTCCATGTGGGTGGGTATTTTTGTCACGCTGCATCTCACAGCGCTCTTCCTCACCTTGTATGAGTGGAACAGCCCCTTTGGCATGACACCCCATGGCCGGAACAGACTACGTGTATTCTCCTACTCCTCTGCTCTTAATCTCTGCTACGCCATACTGTTTGGACGCACTGTCGCCACCAAGGTAACAAAGCTCTTCTCTCTGTGATTAATTGGCATCATGTGGGGCAGGGCGAGGAAAAGTCATTGCAAAGAAGAGGGGGAGGGGATGCTTTATGGGATGCTTATTGTCAATGGCAAAGGAAAGTTGAAAGAGGGTGCTAGAGAGAAAAATGATGGAGATGGCTAGGGAGAAGAAAAGATTGATAGTGGATAGGTTAAGAAGGTAGGCAGTGATGAAGTAGAAAGGTACAGGGAGGATAATGCGCATACAGGGACAGAAAGGTGAAAGGGTAAGTGAGTGACAGAGAGTGAAGGAGTTATGGTGAGGATGATGGGGTTCGATGAAGGTGGTGAAAATGGGAGCAAGTTGAGGTTAGCTCCCCAACGCAGTCAGACCCAAAGTTAAAAACAAGAAGGCACGGAGAAGAGGGCCAGTGAGGGGGATAGGAAGGTGAGAAGGCGAATCAGGAAATAGGTTTCAAAAAGACGGTATTAGGAAGGCTGACAGAGGGATGGTGAGATGGGGTTGAAAGGGTAAGTGGGTAAGCAGGGATGAGAAAAGCAACAGATTGACAGTGACGTGGAGGTGGGCAGAAAGGGGATGATGTAAAGGAGGGGGGGCATGCGAGCAGGCAAAGTTGAAACATGGCGACATAGGTTAATATCAGGGAGAAACAGAATTGCGAAAGATAAATGGAAGTCAAATCCTCAGACTGAGGCAAATTTATCTAATAACTTGAAAGCAACTTGAAAAACAATGTCTGTTACTTCAGAGATTTAAAAAAGACAACTTATTTTCATGACATTTGTTTGGTATGAAAATGTAAATTACAAATATTAAATGTACCTTTGGAGTAACAGCATTTTTCAAAACCTTGTCAGATTTAACAGATCGTGTGACACCCACAGTCACACTGGTGCACAAACACAATCTCAATGTATTTGCCAGTGAATAACGACTCTGTCTTCTGCAGTCTTTGTTTTATATAGCCTCACATTGTTCCAGAATCAATCATTAAGATAACTTGCTTGCTTTTCAAGTTTCCGTGCAGTAACATCTTTTCCTTAAATTATTCCTGTCCTTATAGTGAGATTGCCGCTCATAATATTTAAATAAATACAAAACCACATTTTACCCTTAAAGCAAACTGAGAAAACAACTTAAGTGGAAGAACGGTCGAGTGATTAGTAAGACCTTCCCATTATTGAAAGGTCACAGGTTTGATCATCGCATTGGCGATGTGTCAGTTAACAGGTTGTGTTCATTAGCAGCCCTGTGACCTGTTAAAATGTCCTTGAGCAACTCTCTGAACCTCTGTGTGCTGGGTCACAGCCAAGTCGTCAGGTTTACTCAGGCTATGGGAAAGAAAGGGGGAAATAAATTGATTGCTAAACCTTTACTGCTGGGTTGAGTTTTACAACTTGACTTTAATGATCAGGCGAATGTCAAGACAAGGAAACCAACTGAAAAATTTTTTCTGATTTTTTGTCTTTCTGCAATACAAATGCTTAAGGAATATATTTAGGTTTTCCTCTTCTAACATAAGCTGTTATCCTCAACATACCTGACTACTACAGATAGCAATAACTGAGCATCACTTCCGCAGGCCATTAATCTGTGTGGTTGTGTTTCACAACAAGGATATCACTGTATTGTACTATATGAAGCTGCCATTGTTATCAGGGTTTAGAGTAACATTAGGTCCTCTGTTTTGCTCTTCATTTCCTTTTGATTTTACACTCAGGCAACCCCAGGTAAAAATAACCGAGATAGCAATGTTCTTGTCAACATATCTAACCTTAAAAGCCATTTGAGATTGGAAACAAGTGTGTTAGATGATGAACTGTTGCTTTTAGAATGAATTAGCAGTCGCTTTTAAGTGATACTAGACCTTTAAATTGAACAGGGGTTTATTTTATCTGTGCATTCTTAACTTGCAGGATTGTAGTAAAGTTTTGCCTAGGAAATACAGCTTTAGCCTTATTATTTAGGCTAATAATAAAATCACAAGTTGTCCATAGTATCATTTTTGTATCCATCAAGTTCACTTTCAGTTACAGCTCCTTTAAATGATTCATGTTTTAAAACCAGTCAGCTAGAAACATCACAGAAGTCAGCCATCCCACGGGGCCAATGTTAGCGCAATTAGCTTTCTAGCCAGTACTGCTAAAATGTCAGTGAAAGCTGCATTTTTAGCAGTTAGAAGAATGCTTTTGTCCAAGTTCACACAATATATGTTATTTCTTAGTTATTTTTTTACAACCTGTGTTACATTCCCAATCTGTCAGCAATGGCTGCAAAAGGCTGCTAGCTTAGCCTCATGGGGGCAACAGAAAATCTTAAAAGGTGTTCAGTTTACAAATGCAGTTGCATTTTAAAAAGCTCACCATTCACAACCAAAGTGGATTGCTAGCAAGCAAACTCACAATATTGGAACAGAGATCTGACAGGCCATGTAAGTATGTGTAGTTCCTCACCTCTACTTTTTGATGAAGGGCATTCTCCTATCTTTCACTTTTCTCAGCAACTCTGTCAATGAAATCAAAAGGTTTCATTGAACTTGTTGCCAAGTTGCCAAGTCTCTCCTGTCCACAGGTGTTTCTAGGTAGACTTTAATCCTTTTCAGGAAGGGAGAAGACCTCTCTGCAGATGTGCTTGTAATAGGAATGGTGAGCATCAGCCTCAGCAGCTTGCACACTTCAGTTAAAGCAGCGGTCAGTTCATTTCTTATGAACGTCTCCAGCAGCTCATCCGGCAGCTTGTAAAAGTGGGCATACACACGAATGACCTGGTTTAAAAAACCTCAGGCATGAAAATGAAATCAAAGTCATTCCACTTTTATTTCAGGGCAAGATCCCATCCAGGCCTAATGATAACACATGGTGTTAAAAGCAATATTCTTTATTATCTCAAACCTCATGTACGGCTTGCACAGCCAGGTTTCTTATGTTCCACCATCTTCTCGGGTATTATTGTCCGCCTCAGTGAATAGCACTGTCTTTTTATCTGAATAGCTGAAAAAGTTGTGAAAGCTGTAACGACAGGCAAAAAGAGATTTTAATTTCTTAAAACTGTTTGTTCCCTGAGGCAGGGCTACGTTAAACTTGTGCACATGACAGTGAATAAACAATGCATACTGGCGTTTCAAATGTCTCGCTCCATCATATGCTTGACAAATGAGATTTATTTCAGGATGGTACTTTGTAATTGTCTCGATCACAACAGTCACTCTTTATCAAAGAGACCAGTCACGCACATTTGTGGACTATGACAATCAATTTGCACCTGTACATGTGCAGTATCTCTCTGGTGTCATGTTGTTTGACTACCATGAAAAGTGCAAAGAATGAAAATCCAGCTCTGTTGTGTCAGGGGAAGAAAAGAATAACAGAACTTAAAAAAAATATAATCCCTGAAGCTCTTGTGACAGCTCTGTTTACTTTAGCTCAGTCAGAGCTAAACTTAGCAAAGAACACAAAAGAAGCATATACAGTAGATGAGTTAAAACTAGTTGTGAACCCCTTACTGCACTAACAGTAGCTACTAGTAGTGTTAGTTTGAGTACCATAATTTACTGAGCAATGCATTTATTCTGTGCTGCTCCATGCACATGTGCAGCAGTGGAAACAACAAGAAGAAAGAAAGGAGCGTACCACCATGCTGTTAAGACTTTCATCCTGAGCTGTGAAGTGAATTGAGAGTATCTAGACAACATGAGTTTTGACCAAGTTATTAAGCAGCTAATTACGTGTGGCTAAGGACTGATAAAACTTTGTCCTGACCGTTGGCTCCACACTGCAGGTTAATGGCAGTGGTTCCTTAGGTTTGTTAAACATGAAACTGTGACTCTCTGAATCCATGTTTTAAGATTGTCACTGCTACACTGCAATTCGAGGGCATAAGGGTAATGATAATGTTTAAAAAAATTATTTAAGATGCTCCTCAGTCAAAATTTCCACTTGTAACTCTGCCGCTATTATTAGTGCGACAGGCTTATAGAACAAAAAGCTCACAACAAATAGAACGACAACAATTTATGCTTGTATTGTGCACGCCATTCTCTGTTTCTCCCTTTTGAATTCCCCAATTAATTGTGCAAAGAGTTCTGAAACACTTCAAAAACCTTTATAATGGGTTACAACCTTGTTTGTATAATTAATATCTCATTAATCCCGAGCCCTTACAACACTGGAAATTCATCTCTTTTCTTCTTTTAAGTGGATTTTAATTGGTGGAATAAATAAATGATCACAGTGTTCAGGTGGATTCATTCCCCGAAGCAGCCAATTTCACGGAGAGATATTTTTGACGTGTCACACTAACAGTCACATTTTGTTAGATTTTGTGTTTTGCATTAGATGTTCTTTTGCTCTGTTTTAATAAATGGGATTGCCTTTCCTTGGGGAGCAGAACTGGATGAAGAGGATACATATCTGAAGCTGGGACACATTTGAAAGGACCTTTTTAAACACTTTTTCTTTTTTTTGCTTTTGTCCTTTCTCACATATATGTTTTCAAACCTAGTTTCTGTCAAAGGTAAGCCAAACTCAAGTTTCACCTGTCATACGTCTCCACTCTACAGACCCCTAAATGCTGGACAGGACGCTTCTTGATGAACCTTTGGGCTATCTTCTGTTTACTGGTGCTGTCCAGCTATACGGCCAACCTTGCTGCAGTAATGGTGGGGGAGAAGACGTTCGAGCAGGTTTCCGGAATTCACGATGACAAGGTTAGACCACTTTCGAGGTCACAAACATGCCACTCCAGAAATGTTAGCGTGCGACACATATATTCACACGCATAATAATCTTACACAAGGATGAACTAATGAGAAGACAGTGAAATATTTGTGAAGGCTTATTGCTTTCCATTTCCCTAAACTCTGTAGGGAGTTCAGGAGTACTGTGAATTTAATATGTGCCCCATCGTGATAGCTGCCCTCTCTTGGGCTAAAGATGATCAAAATGGGAGCTGGGAGTTTTGGAGAACCAAAATTGTTGTTGTTTCCAAACATCAATATGCATCGAAGAAAGCCTATCAAAGGAAATTCACTGAAGCAGGTTCCCAGCCCACAGTTAAAACGGTACATAAATCAAACAATAACTTTGAAAGCTTCCCGCCCAAACTATACCGCTAATGGCAAGGGTAAATTAAAACAGACAATTAAAGTTATGCAGAATTTATTGTATTCAGGCCTTGAATATGCACAATATCTATATAACAAACTATCCAACCAAGACTTAATTTTAATAAGGGAAAAATACTTTCTTCCACTCCCACTGGAGACCCACTGCCGACAATAGGGCTGTGTTCCGCCCCAGCAAAATGCAGTAAACCCATTATTTAAATGGATGCAGTGGTGTGTTGTTTGTTGTGTTTTGTGCAAGAAACACACCCATGGCAGTTGATCCATTGTGTGCACTGCCTCCTTTAAAATTGCTGGGCTTTAATATAGATGTCACTGCTGACTGGGTAGCACTTCTCACATACTCACCAATATGAGAAAACATACCTTAAAGCCTGGTATATACACTGTTTCCCATCCTTCAAGGAAACTTGTTGTTCAGCCCTGAAATCAGAGCAAAATGTGGCACCTGGTGGAGCAAGGGGCTTATTCAAGAGAGGAATCAAAGTAAATAAATACTTAAATCAAAACTGTAGTCAAGAAAATCAGCTCAAGTACATTTTTTACTTATTTTAGCATCTGAAAGATCCTGGGTTCAAGACCTTAAGGAGACAAAAACCCAGCCTCAGGATGTCCAACGCTATTTCTGGTCTCAAGCCTGGATAAATGTGAGGGTTGCAGAGTTGCATCAGCACGGACATCCGGTATAAAAATTGATATCAAATCAAATGCGGAGATCCATCTCCTGTAGCAACGCCTTGGGAATAAGGGAGCACCTTATCTAAACTCCTAAATAGGATGATATCACCTGAATTCATCACTTAAATTACATATCCACCCTCTCTTATACTCATGCCTTCCTATTCCATCTCCACAGCTGCACCATCCGTCCCTGGGCTTCCGTTTTGGTACAGTGAGGGAGAGCAGTGCTGAGGATTACATGAAGAAAAGTTTCCCGGAGATGCACGACTACATGAGACGCTTCAACCAACCCACCACTCCAGAAGGTGTACACATGTTAAAGTAAGAAACAATCAAATCCATGGACACTGTCTGAAATATTGAAAATAACCATTTTTACCCTTTTCCTTTCCTGCTAACCTAAAAAAAAAAATCTAGTCACGTTCACATCTCGTATTTGTGGCTTTCTATATTCAGTGGACTTATTTTCTATGCACATTGTGCAAAACAGTTCTACTAATTGCACCAACAATTTGCATGTTACTCGTTCTCTCTCTTAAATATTTATTTTGAATTATTATGAAGAACAAGCTACAAGCTTAATGTAAGTTTTGCTTTGGGGATGATTTCTGCTTTCTTTACACCTGCCATGCTGTTGTGTGCAACCCATTTATCAGCGTTTTCTTATTAAGAGAACACACTGTTTTGCAAGTGCATGCGACAGAAATATGAAGAAGTGCTCAGTGCTCTAGCCGCATGTATTTAAACCATGCATAATCATGAGCTTTTCCTTATCTAGACACAATTCAGCATAAGGTGTAACCGAGGTAAAAACACATAAATTATATTTCATTAGTCCTTGTAGTTTATAAAGAAAGAAATAATTAGACTTTTTTTAATGAGGGATGAATAAGGGTCAGGGGCAGGCTGATGTAGGGAGTGCTGAGAAAAAATTATTCACTCTGATGTCGAATGGGGACAGAAAGCAGATGAAAGCAAGCACAGAAGACAAGTTTATTTTTGTATCGCATTTAATTTACAAAGGAAATTGAAAATGCTTTACATAAATCATTGAAAATGAAAAGAAAGAGCTACAACAAATTGCACTTAAAAAACAAATTTAAGTGATGGGGAAAATAAAAATGAATGGAAAACCGTAAAAAAAAAGTCAGTGTGACAGAAAGTAGTTCTGTTCATAAGGTTCATGCAAAGGATGTGGATGAAATAAATGAACCTCATTACAGAAGTTATAAAGATGATCTGAAGGCTGAAAAAAGGTCATACAGAGGAATCCAAGAAATAATCATTCTGAATAACCAGTTAATTAGACTATGTTCACACTCGTCATTCATTATATTAGTTATTCACAAATTATGTTGCTTTTGTATATTTACTTTTTTATTTATTTTACATGTCCTTCACTCCTCCACATCTAGCAAATCTGTTATTTCCGTACCAGCTGGCTTTCCTTAAGCAGTTGAGGATGAACCCACTTTGGTTTCTGGCAGCCTAAACTGTTTTGCCTTCAGCGGTCTTCTGGATTTAGCTTCTCCATCAGATTACCAGCAATCGAGGATGAGAGTGGCAATACTTTTAGTATTCGCATTTAGTTTTTGTGGCATCTCATCGCTCATAGTTTTGCTGTTGAATAAAGAAAAGGGCTTATGACAGAAAGATTAAATGTTTGGGCACAAGATTCTGTTTTGAGGCAGGTTTTTACATTTTACTTTATCATTTTATTTTATGTAAAATCAGATCGTTTTACCACGTTAGACCCCTTAAACTTCACATCAAAAACACTAGACTGGATTCACAGGGTACAAAAATAGTAAAAAAAAAATAATAATAATAATTTTATCCTGCCCATGTACTGTACCAAGCACAACCACAACGACGCACACACTTCTCAGACACAATGCCTACTCCAGAGAGCACCAGCAGAGCTACTGAGATGGTGCATGTGCTGACTTTGTGATTCAAGTGGGAAGATAGAAAGCGCTTGTTCAGAGAAAGAGGATGAGAACAGAAAAGATGAAGGCGGCATTTGTTTGCGTGTGAGGCAAAGCAGAAGTCGAAGTCACAGCAGTGCAGAGAACTGGAGTAAGGCTGTAAAATACTGTGTTGGCAGAACTACTGACCCCAATACTGCAGTCAAATCTTAAAGAAGAAAAATCCCAAGCCTTCTCCTGGAGAGGCACGATACACATGCAGGTGCACACAAACATATAAGCTCAGAGGAAATTGTGCACACGTGTGCACATACACAAGCTTAGAGCTTACAGTTGTACCTGCTCACTCTCATGCCTATATATTTATAGGCATGCTCAAATACACACACACACACAACTCTTATTCCAAGGCCGTGCATCGGGTAGCTTCCAACTCTCTTTAGTCCCAAAAGAACTCTCTATCCTCACTTTTCTCCCTGTGCATAGTATTTGACAGGTCTAGACAGAGAAAAACAGACTTTCCTTCTTCCCAGCACTGCAAAGACTTTGTAAAGTCAGCCTGTGTTTAGTGGTAAATGTCCTGAATAACAACAAGTTTCAGGTAATTTGATCAGTCTTGTCTATTTTTCCATTGGACTGACTATATTTGTACACGTCTTCTTTATGCCTTTCAAATCTGAGTTTATTTGTTCATTATTATCACTTTGAAAGTCTCTGCATCGAACGTACATACATATCTGTGTGTAGGTCTATCATTCAGACCCTGTCTGTTGAGCCTTATTTCCTGGAACTAATCCTCTGCCAACCATGGTCAGCAGCACAGGCTGCACACAGAGGAACAGTCTATAATTAAGGGTCAATCAGGGTCAATTGGATCGATATTGCCAGAGTAGGAAAGTCTTCAGCAGTGTGTATAATGCCTTATCAGTCCGCGACAGAGGATGTTGGTTTAGGTAATGATGTATGTGTTTACATAGTGTATTAGAATGCAGTTAATCTTATCCCCTGTATAAATGACACAGTGGCATAACAGCCCTAAATCCAAGGTTCCTGAGCAGGTCTGGAGATTTAGGAATTGTGTGGAAACAGAATCTGATTTGTAAAACCGAAGATTAATCGTCTTCAATTAATGTTACTCTCTCACTTCTTGTGATGTGTGTGTGTGCGTGTGTGTGTTGTTGGTGGTGAAGGACAGATCCTCCTGCCCTGGATGCATTCATCATGGATAAAGCCCTGTTGGACTATGAGGTCTCTATCGATGCAGACTGCAAACTACTTACTGTGGGAAAGCCATTTGCTATTGAAGGTACAGACACTAGCACACACACACACACACACTTGTTTTTATCACTTGTGAGGGCCCGTGGTTGTTGTTTGAAGCCAGTTTTTTAAAAAACAACTTGAAAGGCGTTGAAAAGCACTCATGCATACACATGCACACCCCAAAACTCTATAAAACAGTAACATTTATTCATGTAGTCACACACTTAGAGGTCCACTGAAACAATAATTCAGGTCAGGACTTTAACTCAGGGTTGGGGGATATATTAAAAATTTCTACTGACCTTTGCTAGTCTAGCTCTTTGACTGCTTATAGTATATATCCACAGGATATGTGTGGAAGGCCACACATGAGGTGTGGGCCACATGATCCTGCTCTCCAGAGTCAGTGCTGTGGGGATAGAATCCTAGCTAATGCATGCATTTTTAAAGGCTCATTCCTCCTTGCTATGCTATCACTGGTCAAGTTGACTGTTCAAGGCAGGTCAAAGTGAATTTAAGGCAATGGGAGACCCATATAGATATAGATATATACAGATTCATTTCAAATGCTGTAGTCAGTCATGTAGTAGCTAAGGAAACAACATGACTGACAGAATAACACGGTGATTCACTGTGTGAACTTATAACGCTCCAGGGTAAAAGTATTCAACCATCTATTATTAACAAGACTGCCCAGTCAGAACACTTTGGACTTTGATGCTCAGACATTCCAAGAACATTTAAAAAACATGTAAAAAAAATCCACTGCCAATCAGAAAATAGCTAATGACCCCCACAGGGGGATATCAGATTCAAGTTCTTGCACACTGCTCCATGAATATGTGGGCTTACGCATGCTTATATCTGAGAGTCTGGCACTGATGTGTGTGCGTGATTCTTTTCTTGGTACACTTTATTTTTCTGCCCCAAAAACCATAATATTTTCAGAGACGTGCACGGAAAACATGTGCAGCTAAATTTGAATTTTTTTCCTTCTTTCCAGCATTTTCCTTCTGCACGTGTCACTGAGGTACTGTTGGAAAAGAAGAAATATAACAATAATAGAAGCTTTTAAATATTGTAAATAAGATTTATGTATGCAAAGAAATATATAATATATCTGTTTACAAGGTAAACAGCATTGCCCCTATTTGCAAAAAAGTCTAAAGGGCTTATATCACTCTTTTCTGGAGGCTTTAATACAAGACAAATTACACTGTGTGCTGTAGCCATTGATCATTTATATCAACAATAACTCATGTTTTTTGGCCAAGTAACTGATTACTTTACGTGATTATTATGGCCCCATATACTGGAAAAAGTTGCAACATAAGAAGTTGCAGTACTGTAGCAGTAGTAGGAGTTGCAGTGATGTGCACACACACACACACATACGCACACACAGGAGTAAATTATAACACTTTTAGAAATAAACGCTGCTGACGACCTGCCGAAAGAAATTATGTCCCAGCGCCAATAAATCTCAGGTTCTGCCGTTCGCCGAGATAAATAAAGCATTCTAGCTATTATAGCAAGTTTTACAGTATTCTAGTCACATGCCGTCTGTACATATACACATTCTGAAGGTGACTTTGAAGTGAAATTTCTGCTAGCGCAACACATTTATTGGATATATCAAACATTTAACCTCTAACCCATTGTAGCTTAGTCACCAGGAGGTTTTTCTTTACTAGGATAGAATTGGCGCTGGGAGCTCACGCATGACCACATATGTTTATTTATGTCCACGCATATTACTGTAGGTGTGCGTTTGTGTGCTGGTGCATGCATTTGTGTATTTGATTCATATCAGACTTCTTTTCTCCTCATATCACTGATACAGGCACAAACAGAAACACAGACGATAAATAGAAGCTAGTACGGGTGCCACCTGGGACCAGACACTATCTTTGATACTATTTCTCTGTCAATCAAAGTGTCACCTCAGAAAGACCCCACTCCCACGTTCCCTACTTCCTCTACAGTCCTTGTTCACTGGAGATTATCTAGTGCTTTCTTCATTGCATTGTACAAAATGAGCCCAGGGACAGCGCTGAGCCATTACTCATGAATGTGAAGAAGGGAAAGCAGGTCTCATTGATATGTAGAGCGTGTCAGTTTGATGACTACTTGATTCACCGTCTACACAAATAAGTCATGCAAAGAATCTACACTTGTTCAAGTAGCTATTTTGCAGGAGTGAGGGAGAGTAGGATGGGGCTAAATAAAGAAAGAACAGGAAATGACACAGACAGGAAACATGAGACAAGTAAAACAAATAAGAGGGAGAACAGAAAAAAAACACGAGACGGAATAAAAGATTTTAAAAAGTAAGTAAGAACAACAAAAGTAAAGAAATCGGGGGCCAGTGAGTGAGGTGGGAGTTGAGCATAAGAAGGAGATAGAGGGCTTTCATTTGCCCACTGCCAGTTTGCTCCTTTCTGCACAGCTAGTGATAAAAGAGGCAGCCAACAGAGTCTCCTAATCAAGACAAACCTTCACCCCAAGCAGATGGAATAAGGGAGGGGAAGAAAGGACACAGAGTGGAAGAATGGAGCAAAGAAAGAGAGGAAGTGTTATTTTGTCTGTATGTGGATGCAAGCGGGATTTATAGAGCAGTTTGTGGTCAGGAGATACAGAGAGATGCTGGAACTGGGACTGTGGAGTCGCTCCAGGCAAGGTGCTCTGCTGAAATCTTCAGGCTGCTTAAGTGGAGGGAGATGCGGGGGTGTCGCCGTGCGTCTGTTTTCGCTGAGTGCTGTTGGGAGATGTTTACGACAGCCTAGACACACCCCATTAATAATATTGCCACTGAACACGCAGCCACTAGCTGCCCGCACGCATGTGTGTGTATGGGGTTGGTGTGCATGCGGAGCATGTGTCCCTGCGTGCATAAGTGGTCTGCACAAGCTCAGTCAAGCAGAACAAAGCACGTCTGAAGATCAAAACGAGGATGGCAAAGGATCCTGTTGGCGGGGTGAAAGTATTGTTGGTCGGGCAGCTCACGTCTGACGAGAGTGACGTACAGACACGTTTTTTTGTCTGTAGTTGTGTGTGACATGTGCGCGTACGTGCAGAAATGTGGCAGAGTCTGAAACAAAATTAAGCATTACTGACTTGATTACGTGATTAGTAGAAATGGGCAACTGTTGTGATTAATTAATAATAATTCAGCTTGATGTCTTATTTTATGTGACAGCAGTTTTTAGATTAAAGATGTCATCTTCTGAAATATTTAGAGGACTAGCTTAACAGGGTTTTTTTTTTGTTTGTTTGTTTGTTTGTTTTGGGGGGGGGGGGTTATTGAAGAAGAGATTAATCAAGAAAAATAATCATGAATATATATTTGATCCAACCCTATAACTGTGGATCTTGTTCACACATAGACACAAACCTTAAGAATCTTTTATCCAACCTGAAAAGATTAATATTTGATTGAATCCAGTTTTGCCCTCTTTCAAAAGCTAGAAATTCATGCCTCCTAGCCCCAGTCAATAACAAAAAATATTTTTAAGTTGGAATTCAGTGAAATAAAAACTCGCACACACCATGAGATCAACAGGTATAAATAAGCAGAAGCTTCAGCAAACATCCATTCATCATCTTCTACTTATCAAAAGTTGAGTTGTGGTTGGAGCAGGCTAAGCAGGATATTCCTAATGTCCTTCTCCCCAGCAACACTTTCCATTTCCTCCTGGAGCATTCCTCCCAATCCAGATGAGATATATAATCTATCCTGTGGGTTGTGGGTCTACCCTGGGATCTCATCCCACTTGGATATGTGCAGAAACACTGCAGAGGGAGGCACCCAGGAGGCATCCTAACCAGATGCCTAAACGGCTTCAACTGGCTCCTTTTAACACAGAGGAGCAGCAGTTCTACTTCAAGCTCCCCAGCCTATCTTTGAACTCATACACCCTTCAGAGGAAACTCATTACCCAGATCTCATGACCATCAGTGAGGTCTGAAATCTAGATGGACTGGTAAATTGAAAGCTTCACCTCTTAGCTCAGCCTTCTCTTTACTACAACAGTCCCAAAACAACCACAAAGATGCTGGATTAATCCGCTGGTCCACCTCACATTCCACCTTCCCATCACTCATAAGATCCCAGGATAGTTGAACTCCCCTTTCTGCTTCTCTCACCAGAACCCATTTTCCAGCAGAGAAACATGACCTCAGACTTTGAAAACCAGCAATATTTAAAGTGTCTGAAAACCTGTTTTCTCAGTTAGCTATTTAAAATCGAGTTAAATACAGAAATAGCTGAAGTTCGAAATGTGCTGGTTGTTTCTTTTAAAAATTGCCCCTGCTGCTTTTACCTGCACATCTCTTACCAATTTGAAGAAACAAAATTACAGATTAAAGCTGAAAGTGAAAGTGTCACTTGAAGGTCACATATCCATGCACCAAACAGGATTTTTCTCATATTTTAAGAGGTTGGTGGGATAACACATGCTATTTATGTTGCCTAGGAGATGCTGCTGAAACTAAATTGATGCAACCACTCTCACAGAAGCACCTGAGTTTGTAACTGCCTAACTCATGCAGGGTTACACAAGGTTATACGTTTATTTAGAGAGTGCACATTTCACGTTTTGCTTGGAGAGTAGGGCGTATTTAAAACTTTTTTATTAAATTACTGTATCTCCAAAAAACTGAAGTAAAAGTACATTAAAAAAAAAAAACATGAAATAGGGAGCATGCTCTTTGATGTTTAATGTAACACAAGTCAAATTTACAGCAAATCCATTTGTTTTTCTTCAGTGAAATTTTAGGTTGCGTTCTTAGACTTTATATAAATGATGGCTGTAGGCACCATGACATTGGCTATTGTTTGGAAGCTTCAACTTTAGCACCTTGGTCACAGTTTTTCTCTATTTTACTCATTTGGATCATCTATTACTTCACCTTGATATATATTTTATAATTAGGGATGGGTACCGGTGTCCGGTGCCATGATGGCACCGGTTCTGACATAAACGGTAGTAACCAGACCGAAAAGCAGCGCACATTTCGGTGCTTTATTTCGGTGCTTTTTTT